ATAACAAAATCTAAAATTTAGTTACTCATATATTTTACCTCCCGTATATTTTTTCAAGTTTCACCATCAAACTTGCCACCTCGGAAGAACGTAGGCGGTCGTCCGAGACTCGCCTTACGACCCATCACAAATGGTAATTCTAAATACACAATCAATTTGTTCTGTTTAATTTATGTGGAAAAAAAAATTCTCTATATGTACATGTTATATCTTCAATGATTATACCAATTATCGAATGTCCTGCAGTTTCATCATTGAGCTTGCCACCTCGGACGAATGTAGGCGGCCGTCGGAGGCTCTCAATCCCTTCTTCCATTACCATCAACAGATCCACATTATCTTCCGGTTCGTTGAACTCATCAATCAAAACTGCTAATTATTTTTTTATGATATTTTAAATTTTATTATATTTATTTTATGGTCTTTTTATGCATGACTATGTAGATTTTGAGAATATTTAAAACCTGCAATAGCTTTTAAATTTATTTTTAAATTACAATGCCACAGAATATTGGGATATTGGCGACGCATCGTTTCGTTGCCTTCACTGTGGCGCGAGATTTTGGTACTCTGAGCAATTGGGCAAGCCATCTAAACCTAAAGTCCCAAAGTATTTTGGTTGCTGCAACAACGGATTCATCGAACTTCCACCCGTTTACACTCCTCCCCCTTTTCTGCGTGAGCTGATTTTTGGTTCAGGTCCACGGAGCAAGCGCTTTCAAGAAAACATACGGTCTTACAATAACATGTTCTGCTTTACATCCATGGGTGGAAAAATTGATACCGACATAAACAAGGGAACCGGCCCACCCGTCTTCCGTTTGCACGGTCAGAACTACCATTTAATGGGTAGTTTGCTACCCGATCACGGGGCTCCTCCGAAATTTGCTCAATTGTACATCTATGACACGGAAAACGAAGTATCAAACTGTTTGTCTTCTGTGAGGTATATTTCTTATATTTTAGCATTTAAAAGTGAGTACTATGTTTTTTTTTTGTTTTTATTGCGGTTTACATCATATTTACTAATTCAAAACAAAATTATGTTTATTTCAGGAGAGGTTCTGAACGAAATAACCTAGATGAGGATGTAGTTCGCGGTTTAAAAGAGATGCTCGATCATTACAATGTTTTGGTAAAGTCGTTCAGGATGGCCCGGGAGAAAATGATCCAGCACCAGCAAATTGAAGTTAAGATGCGTCTTATCGGTAGAAGGAACAAGGATGGTCGGCGTTATAATTTACCCTCCACTTCTGAAGTTGCCGCCTTAGTTGTTGGGGATTTCGATGATGCCATGGGCAGCAGAGATATTATAGTAGAAAATCGGAGCGGACGTCTGCAGCGGATAAACGAGTTAAACGCTTCTTACTTGGCACTCCATTATCCTATTCTTTTTCCATATGGCAAGGATGGCTACAGGGAGGACATTCCGTTCTCCTGTCTTAAACCGCTAACAGAGAGGTCGAGGAAATTTATCATCCCGTTGGAGTTCTTCAAATATCGAATGCACGATCGGGACTGCGAATTTTCGTCAATTCTTTCCGCTCGGAGGTTGTATCAGCAGTTTGTTGTGGACGCGTATACAATGGTGGAGGGAGCTCGGCTCAGATACATACGTTTTAATCAGAAGAACTTGAGAACTGAATTGTACAACAGACTTTCCGACGCTGTGCTGCGTGGTGACACGGATCCTGGTTCTCAAGGCAAACGTATCATACTTCCTTCGTCATTTACGGGTGGCGCTAGATATATGGTTCAGAACTATCAGGATGCAATGGCCATTTGTCGTTGGACCGGTTATCCTGACATTTTCATAACCTTCACATGCAATCCCAAGTGGCCCGAAATCAGTCGTTTTCTTGCTGAGAAGAACCTCAACCCAGAGGATCGTCCTGATATTATTTGTCGGGTTTTTAAGACCAAGTTGGATCAGTTGATGAGGGATGTTCGTCATAACAAGATGTTTGGGGATGTGAATGCAGGTATTTCTTCAAACTAATTTTTAACTGATTTCGTCATAAATTTTATTATACTTTTTTTGCTATATTTATTAATTTTGACAAAACAATGGATTTATTGCAACAATCTACACAATTGAATTCCAGAAACGTGGCCTTCCGCATGCGCATATCTTGCTTTTCCTTGCCAAGGAATTCAAGATAAAGACTACTCATGACATAGATAAAATAATTTCTGCCGAAATACCGGATGAGGCCACCGATCCATTTTACTATGCTGCTGTTAGAGATCATATGATGCATGGCCCCTGCGGAAGTGTTCGCCCGAATTCTCCGTGTATGGCGAACGATTGTTGCACAAAACATTTTCCAAAAAAGTTATCCGAAACCACGACACTAGACGAAGAAGGCTATCCACGATACAGACGGCGTGATAATGGCAGGACCATCGAAAAGAATGGCATTCCCCTGGATAACAGATACGTTGTGCCCCATAACAGGAAATTGCTTATGAAGTATGGAGCGCACATAAATATGGAGTGGTGCAACCAGTCGAGGTCCATAAAATATTTGTTCAAGTACGTGAACAAGGGGAACGATCGCGTTATTGCAACCTTCCATGCGTCCAATGGAGATGAGTCCTCTACCAGGTCAGTTGACGAGGTGAAGATGTACTATGATTGTCGATACGTTTCATCTTGTGAGGCTGCGTGGCGGTTGTTGGAGTATGAGATTCAATACAAGCACCCATCAGTGGAGCGCTTGAATTTTCACCTCGAGAATGAGCATCCGTGCTACTATCCCGATGAAGTTACAATCGATGAAGTGGTTAAGAAAAATAAAGATGCCGGCAGCAAATTTTTAGCTTGGATGGAAGCTAACAAGAAGTATCCCGAAGCCAGGAAACTCACGTACGTTGAGGCTCCCACCAAATTTACGTGGCACTTGGAAACCAACAGTTGGGAGCCTAAAAAAGGAAGTAATCGTATCGCGCGTTTGTACTTCGTCCCCCCTGGTGCTGGTGACATATATTACTTGCGGTGTCTTATCAACGTTGTTCGAGGTGCAACGTGCCATCGTGACTACATGAAGTTGGACGGGGTACATCACGATTCATATCGTGACGCGTGTTTTTCTCTTGGTCTGGTGGAGGACGACAAAGAGTATATAGAAGGGATTATCGAGGCAAGCCAGTGGTCGAGTGCCAATTCATTGAGAAACCTTTTTGCTACTTTGTTGTCTTCTGATACTCTTGGTCGACCAGAGTTCGTGTGGGAATCATGTTGGCCTTACCTATCGGATGATATATTATACAATCGTCGGAGGGTTTTACAGCACCCAGGTTAGTCAATCAATTACTGTCACAATCTTATGTTTTTTTTTCCTTTTCCTCTTTCGTCTTTATATTTATAAACTTTGTATACTTGTGTTACAGAATTGGTACTGGGCGATGATGAAGTAAAAAATCTGGCCTTGGCGGAAGTTGAAAAAATTTTGCGCAAACGTGGTACGAGCTTACGCGAATACGGTACAATGCCTTTTCCTAATCTTGATCGTAATGAGGCATCCACGAACAGACTGGTGATGGACGAGTTGAATTACGATCGACGTGCACTCGCTATTGAGAACCAAGAGTTGGTTGCCAATATGACTGATGAGCAGCGGAATGTTTATGACTCGATAATGGACTCTGTTTACCGTACCTACGGCCGTATGTTTTTCGTTTATGGTTAAGGCGGCACCGGTAAAATGTATGTCTGGAGAGCGTTGTCTTCTGCTTTGAGATCCAAAGGTGAGATTGTGTTGAACGTTGCATCGAGCGGTATCGCATCACTTTTGTTGCCCGGCGGACGAACTGCGCATTCACGATTCAAAATCCCACTAAATCCAGTGGAAGGCTCTACATGTGATATTAGCCAGCAGAGTCCTTTGGCCGAACTCATCATACGATGTCGGTTGATCATTTGGGATGAAGCTCCGATGATGAACAAATATTGCTTCCAGGCAGTTGACAACACCTTGCGTGCCTTAATGGAAGCAGTTGATCCATCGAGAAGAAATCTCCCATTTGGCGGCAAGTGTGTTGTGTTAGGTGGGGATTTCAGACAGATACTGCCCGTTGTCCCTAAAGGCAGTCGGAGCGACATAGTTAACGCCACCATCAATTCACCCAAGTTGTGGCGCGATTGTATCGTTCTGAGACTCACTCGGAATATGAGGCTCCGAAGCCTTGGTGGGGGTGATGAGTACAATGAGTTGAGGCGCTTCTCTGAGTGGCTTGCAAACATCGGCGATGGTACAGTTGGTGGATCGAACGACGGTTGTGCCGATATCGACATCCCCGACGATATTCTTCTACACTCACAAGGGGATCCTATTGGTACTATTGTTGAGAGTACCTACCCGATGTTTAGGAGTGCAGGTGACGATCTTAGCTACCTGAAGGACAGAGCCATACTCGCTCCCACACTTGACGTGGTTGAGTCCGTTAACGAGTACATGAGCTCGATGAACTCATTTGAGGGAAGGACTTATTTGAGTTCGGATACCGCGTGCAAGTCAAATGCTGGATATGATTCTCTTCAGGATCTTCACACTCCTGAATTTCTCAATGGGATCAAGTGCTCTGGACTTTCGAATCATAAACTGCACCTTAAGGTCGGCACTCCAGTGATGCTTCTCAGAAACATTGATCACTCCATGGGGTTGTGTAACGGTAATGTTCATCAAAATTCATTTGCCATCTATATTTCTTTTTATCATTGTACAAATTTGAGTGATATGCTTTTGTTTTCGAGTTTTGATGTCAACAGGTACACCGTTGGTTATCACTAAGCTCAGCAGCCATGTCCTCGAATGCAAAATTTTAACTGGTGCCAGAGCTGGTGACAAGGTTCTTATTCCTAGGCTGACAATCATACCATCTGATTTGAGGGTACCGTTCAAATTCCAACGCAGGCAATTTCCGCTCATGGTTTCATATGCTATGACTATCAACAAAAGTCAAGGCCAGTCACTTTCACACGTCGGCTTACTATTGAAGAACCCTGTATTCAGTCATGGACAGTTGTATGTGGCACTATCTAGAGTCACGAATCGGAGGGGTCTGAAGATAATGATCTGTAGTGATGGAGATTTTGATGATATGAAAACCAAGAACGTTGTATATAAAGAAGTGTTTAATAATATTTAGATTTAGATTTTTGTTGTTGAACCCGAGTTATCAATGACCATGTTATTATTTTTACTATTGTTTTTATTTTTATTTTTTCCTTTATCATATATCTTTCCGTGCAAATGCACGGGTAAAAAACTAGTAAGCATATAATTACGGAAAAGGCTACGAGAACTATTACTTCGAGATTTGTAACCGTTAGATCATCATGTACTCGTCGGGGATAGTTGATCTGATGGTTACAAACTCCAACAGAATAGTTCCGTAATGGCACCGTAGCACCACCCTATAATTACAGCTGACTAGTTGAATAAAAAGTCTTCTTTCTGAAAAAAGACACTAGTTGAAGAAGGGATGCTTACTTTTATAGGTAGCCTAAAACACAACACACTACATAAACACAAAAAAATAAAATGCTCCATTAATGCATAATACACATTAAGAATACACTCTTCTATGATAGAATACACACTTCAAAAGAGGAGAAGACACAAGACTTCCATCATACACGACATCAGTTAAAATCGATGAAAATCTTGGGTAGAGAGAAGACACATGACTTTCAGTATAAAAATCTGTAGTTGACATATTATAAGGTAAAAAAACGACTTGGACTTAGATTGACATATTATAAATTAAAATATCAATTAAGTTAAAAAAAATAGGGAAACTTTCACGTGTGGTACGTGATTTTAACTTATTTACAACTCTACCATATCTTTATTAATAATTGTGTCTTTACCTAAAACACCTTATTTATCTTAATGCCTAAATCATTTACCATATCCTTTCAACCTCCATCCCCCTTTTTATAGGATTGATTAGGAGGGAGAAATGAAAATATGCTTATAATAAACTCTTTTAATTCCTTAATTTGCACATCTTGTACGTTTTTAATCAAAAAAATACTATTATTTTTTACTTTTATACATAAAAGTATATATAGTCTATAAACATGTTATAACAAGTTACTTATATTCCCTATGCCAAAAAATCTTCTAATATATTGAACATATATTCTCTATACGCACAATATATGCCGAACAGTTTACAAAAAAAATCTTCTAATATACTGAACATATACTGTCTATATACGTAACATCCAACATATACTGCCGTAAACGTATACTGTACGTATATTGTAGATATATTGTACATATACTCTAAAATAAACAAAAAAAAAACAAAGGCTATCAAAAATTCTTCATGAATAATAAATCCAACCAAATCAAATTACAATAACTTCATCTGCACCACCTCATAGAAATTAACAAACTAATAATCAATCAATGGCATGCTCCACGAACATGTCCCCAGTGAGCTTCCAATCCGGCTAGGAAGGCCTCAACCTTCGGCGACTTGAGGTAGTCATTTGCCGGCGGATCCCTCTTCTCCGCCCGCACCTTCTTCTTCCTCAGTGTCATCGTGCAGCCTTGATCCGCCTCCATTTTTCCCCTGCTTTTCTTCTATTTTTTTTTTTTAAGTTGTTTAATTAAGTTGTGAAATTTACTTTGTATATATAAAAGGGTTGAATAAAACAATAAGAATGCAAAATTTGATATCTAATATAGGAAAATATAAATGAAAAAAAAATGACGCAAATTGTTTCGATGAGGATGAGGGAGTTTAGTTTTGTCCATTGAAGATTGAATTTGGGGGAAGTTCTGAAGCGGTTTTGCAGATTGATACGAGTGGGGCGGTGAGGTGGTTTTGGCAGGGTGTTTTGAATTTTTTTGTTCCACTTTTTTAGGTAAGTACATCTTTAATTCACTTGGATATCTCATTAGCATTTAATAAAGTTAATAACGGTTAACCAGTGTGTATTAGGTATAAATGAAATTTTTGTAGCTTGTTTAGGTGATTTTATAAATAATAATATAAGGGGTCCAAAAGTGTTATATAAATTAAGTATATTAGTATGGAGTGCAATTTTCTCAAAAAAATATTAGGTTGCAAAATGACATTTTAACTTGTAATATATCAATTAAGTTGCCTACATATCCCTTACCTCGAAAATCAAAGTACTAGTAGTTCTCTTACTATACTTACCTTGATAAAAGTTGATGGCAGGAAAGATTGAACCGATTGTCCAGTCCTCGTAGTCGTATATGTCATCATCCTCTTCAGTTCTGGCAGTTCCACAAGTACTAGCAGTAAAATCAAATGCCTCATCATCTTCGTCATCTTCGACAATTAGCATGGCCTTTTGTGCCCTCATTACGACCTTCTTCTAGTCACTCAGGAACATTTGAGCCTCCAAGTTTTGTGGCGTCAACCTCGACCGTTGCATCCAGTGTATATCCATCCTCGTCGAATGCTTGTTCAACTGCCATTGTTGATGCCGGGACATCAAAATTCTCCTTGTTACTATGCATAGGATTGAATAAATGAGAGACATCTTTAACCACCAATCCAAGACGTCGATTTTTTATGGCGGAATTGGTTCACGAGCAATTGTAAGTATCAAATTCATCATGAGGTAGTGATCGAGCTCACTGTACTAGTCCCCTTTGCCCTTTGGATCTTAGCATTTTTGTAGGGATTAAAGTCATCCCACCAGTCATCAAAGTTTTAGGCTTATTGCGTTGTTTGTTCCCATTGTCCATAAGAAGAAGACCCAAAAGCAGTTGAAGAAAATAACACCGGTTTTCCCCTGAGTCCGATTGATGTTTCCTTAAACAATTCATATAATAAAAATTTGGCTTGCTCGACGAGCTGCCGTGGAATAGGTCTTACGTGGATACCCGAGACATCAGTGTAACTGAGAAGTGAGAGTTGATAAATAATATCATAATATGTGTTCAGTTGGTTGGGCATGTCATTTTCACGTAATGACGGATCTAACAAAGTTGCAACTAAAAATGTATCGGGAATGAAAAAAATAATATTTAAACCATTTTCTTAACATTTCTCTTACTAGTTCGTAATGTAAGGCACTATCACTAGTAAAAATATCTCTAAAACTCCAAATTACAACTACAATTGACTTACAACAAGTTGAGTAGGATAGTAAACACTAGAAAATAAGTTTGGAGGTAGAGAAAGATGGTTTGTTT